CCCCCCCCCTTTTTTTTAACCATTGAACATACATGCCAAAAGTAATAAACTTTTTTTTCCCTTCTGACAGCCCGTCAAACATCTCAATACAGTAGGTGCCGATTTCCCCTCTTCAGACATGACTGCACGGACATGCTGCGACCCATCACTAGCTAACAAACTCTACAGCACGTACAGCTGACTTTCAAGTATAGATATGTGTCATATACAAAGGCAGTCTTCTATCTATCATTATCATTTAATTTAGGCTCTAATACATTCTCAGGTTGCTACATAACTCTCTGATGAGGTATTCTTTTGTTTTTCCAACGTCAACAAGAAGAAGAAAAAAAAAGTAGCTAAATCGGTACAATACGTCTAGAAACCTTCGACAAAACTATGTATCATCCCCAACAGAAGACAGCTCTCCATCTTGAAACTATTCCATCCGCGACAGCATAGTGATGATACCGAAAAACTGTCCCTCCTTCCACAACTGTCCGGCAGTGAGAACTACAACATACAAAACTCTTCCCTGTACGATCGGCCACACGACAATCCTCGACCATAGGACAATCCTCGTAACATGAAAATCGTAGCTCCTCTAAAGACATCCCCCCTCCCCCGACATCTCTCAAGTTGCCCGATGAGCTGTCCTGTCTTCTGAATCGTCATAACACCAGGCCACCCTTGCCAGGACAGCTCTTCAACAGAACTGAAGAAAGACAGAAACATATTTATATGACATCTTTGTAATAGAGCCTCCTGAGAGTTTATCTTATGTTTGTCGGCTAGGATGCTCTGTTTGGCCCTGAACGAGCAGGGTCTAAACAGCCTGCCTCCAGAAAGATTTTTTTGTTTTAGTTTTAGAAGAGGTTTTACGGCACTTGCAACAAAATAAGATCATATAAGTGCCAAAGATTGGAGGTGTTACAAGAGAGTAACAAACACAAAAAAGAAGGAGGGGAGATAAGGACGATATATGTTTGACAGAAAAGAAGAAGCAAACCACACCAGAGCACCTGCCAACCACCCACGAAAGATTTTCCTTAAAATCAAAATACAAAAATGAGAAAAAAACGAAAGACTAAAACCCTGTAAAAATCAAAATGGTTTTAGTCATGATGGAATTAGAAGACCACAGACGTAGAATTTTACTAAGGCCAGTGTCCGAGTCAAAGAGAAATAGAAAAAAAAATGTTTTCCATCGCCACCCCACCCCACCCTCTTCCATAAAAAAATATAAGTTCGAATGGCACCAGGAGTCATACGACAAAAGTTCAACAAAAGACAACTTTCTCTATGCTATTTATCCTCCTCCACCCCACCCGCTAATATGGAACACAGACCTTATAAACAGTAAAAATAAAGATCTAAGCCCCCACAAAGCACATTGGTAACAAAACACCCCCTCGTCCTGAGAAAGGAAACGAACTACGAACCTTCCACCTGTTCCCACACTCGTTACAGTAGACGAACGTTGTCATAGGTTCATCAGCACTTCTGGTCTGGACCTAGAAAGTAAAAAAAGGGGGTGGGGGCTTTAGGACGGGAAATTAACATATTTGAATTTCTTCAATATTCCAACAACCTCATAAAATTGTAATTTAACACTTTGCGGTCACTTGGCACAATAATGCGGTGGTGAAAAGTATCCTTTCCGGTCGGCTGGTGCATTTCTGCGTCGGGTGGTGCATTTCTGCGCCAGGCTCAAGAAGTCCGTTGCAGTCGCTCTCCTGGCTGGGTGACCAGATGGGGTATTTTGTACTGCTGGCTATGTGACTGTAAAGTGTGAATCAACTCATTTAATTCATTAAATCCGATCAGCCACTCCCAGCGGCCAACACTTCTTCCCAAAATTATGAAAAGCGATCCCTCCAAGCGCCCAGGGCGATGCACACAGGTACACGCAAGTTTCTCATCTATAAACTTGTACACATCTCCTCTAAGGGAAACAACTCTCCATTTTCTTTGTGCATGTCCAAAGACCCCTTGAGATAAGTAGACCGATACACCATCTGAACTTCTAAGGACCACTGTATATTTCCGCCTTTATTACAAGCAATCCCCCTTCCCCCAAAGGTCCAAAACTATACCCCTGTATCATAAGCACGAAACACAGCCAGGACCAGACCCAAAAGGGGAAGTAATGCAAAATAGGATTTTCCATTGAGCCATTACATTCATTGACCTGCTGATTTATCAAACATCTGGATAATACAACACATCCTGGTGTCTTGCTTGAACTACCTGACACTTCAGTCTCTAAAATAGAATCATTGATTACCTGCCACTTCCGTCTCACAGATAGAATCATTGATTACCTTCCACTTCCGTCTCACAGATAGAATCATTGATTACCTGACATTTCATTCTCTCAAATAGAATCAGTGATTACCTGCCAATTCCATCTCAAAAATAGAATCATTGATTACCTGCCACTTCCGTCTCACATACAGAATCATTGATTACCTGACATTTCATTCTCTCAAATAGAATCAGTGATTACCTGCCAATTCCATCTCACAGATAGAATCAATGATTACCTGCCACTTTCATCTCACAGATAGAATCATTGATTACCTTCCATTTCAGTCTCACAGATAGAATCAACCTCAAAGTAACAACCAACAGTCCTTACAGGTAAGATACTGTGCTTGATGCCCGACATGTAATTGATTTCTCACATCACATGTTAAACTGCCTTCAGCATGTCAGAAATTCATCCCATAATTACACGCGCCACACAAAAATGGGATGATTTTGAAGTCAAAGTGCACCCCCTAACATTATATGTTAAATCGTGTTATAAGTGACCATATACATTTAAAGTACACTGCTCCATACTGACAGAAACCAGCGTCTGTGATGTAGCAGTCTTTGTTGCAACACACAGAGACCTGAGTTCAATTCCTGAAATGGGAGAATTTTTATTGAGTATCTCGTTCTTTCTGCTGGGGTTTTGTATTCTACTACACATGGGTTGACCCCGCTAGGCAGGTCGGAAACCTGTTCCAAAATAATCTAAACTGTGTCAACGAGGGCATAAAATCACCCACATTAGAGAATTTTTTTAAAAGCTGGGGCATGCGTTTAACGCGCAGAAAGATTAAGATAACTCGAACTGACGCAAACTCTCTGGTGTGTGGGCTTATTGTTTTAGTAGAGGTTTTGCGGCACTCGCAACTGCATAAGGTCATATGAGCGCCAGAAGATTAGAGGTGTTACAAGAAAATAACAAACATAAATAAAAAGAAGGGGAGATAATGACGACAGATGTTGGATAGGAAAGAAGAAACAAACCACACCAGAGTACCCGCCAACCAGCCACTGTGTGGAGTTAGAAACAGATTTTACAACAATTTCAACGTAAAATACAATCTGCTGGCGACGACAAAATCTTACCTGGTTGTATGTACAATTATTCTTCCGACATTTGCCGCACTTGAAGAGGTCGGTGGCTGTCCCTCCTGTCTTGGCCATCTGGTGGTCGTTGATGGCCTCTTTCGTCAGTTTTTCTCTGAGCTGCTTCATCTCTGTGCTTGCCATCTCCTGTCATGTCACAGAAATACTTTAGTTTTAGTTTAGTAAAGTTTTAGTAGAGGTTTTAGGCGCTCGCACAAGGTCATATGAGCACCAGAAGATTTGAGGTGTTACAAGAGAGTAACAAACATAAACAAGAAGAAGGGGAGATATGACGACAGATGTTTGATAGGAATGAAGAAGCAAACCACACCAGAGCACCCGCCAACCACCCACTTAATTTTAGTAAGAGTATTTGTATTGTTAAGAGTTTTACCACACTTGCAACTGCATTATAAGTAAGAGTTTTACAGCACTTGCAATACAAATAGAATCATATAAGTGCCAAAGATTAGAGGTATTACAAGAGAGTAACATACAAAGAAAAGAAGGGAGGGGAGATAAGGATGATAAAATTTTGACAGGAAAGAAGGAGCAAACCACACCTGAGTGATGGAAAACCACTCACAAAAACATTTTCAATAAACACTTTCAAGTGTAGATCTAGCTACAACCACACACGTTGGCATTTTTTGCGAGCCTTGAGCTTATAGCAAAGAAAATTCCCCATTTAGAGTAACAAAGAATAACAAAACATAGCTTAAAACTTTGCCC